CATACCCCATCGTATCGAGAGAGTGCATCTAGTACTAACTGGCTTTTCCACCGAGTGTAGGAGATGATACTATCCTTTGCATCTAGATCAAGCTTTTTGCAGTTTGAGAAATTGAAGGTGGCATGGATATTATCTGTCAGCACTTGAAGAGCCAAAGGATTTGACACTTTTTCTAGAGATTCACACCCATGTGCATCAAAATACTCAAGTCTTGGTGGGAGCATTGGAATAGATCTTAGCTTCTTGCATTGCTTCAAGTCTAGCCATTTCAGATTATAGAGCTTACTTATGTCATCTTGCAAGCTGGCAAAATCATTTCCGCTCAAACATAGACGTCCTAGGGAGGACACTTCATTAACACCATGTGGCCATTCGCTCGGACAATGATATGATCCAGAAGCTTGGTCTTCATGAGATCTAGTGATGAAACTCGATATGTTTGGCATCTCTTGTGCTCCTGTTCTATCAAGACGTAAAATCTTGATATGTTTCATGTTTTCCTTGACATCTGGAAGATTCTTAAGCTTTGAACAGCCAGAAAGTATTAGTTCTTCAAGATCTTTCATCTCGCTGAAACAATTGGGAAGATACTCCAACAGCTTGCAGCTTTTCAAATTTAACAAGACAAGTCTTTCGAGGTTCTTGATAGTGGGAGGAAGCTTGTTGATTGCAGTACCATCTAAATGAAGAAACTCTATATTTTTGGAAATTAGCTGAAACTCCTTGAGATTTGAGCAGTCACTGAGGATGAGAATTTTAAGGGAAGTCAAATTCATCTCTGGAATAGAACAAAGACGTATGCAACCTCTGAGGTTCAGGAAACTAAGAGACTTCATATTTTGAATCTCCAATGGTAACTCATCCAAAATTGTGCATCCTTCCAGATTCAATCTCTGAATATTTTCAGCCTTTGATAATGCTGCTATGCTGAGCAGCTTACTCGAATAGCTTAAATCCACCCACTTCAACTTTGGTGTATCCTGTGACAACACATTAGAATTTCACTAGCTATCCATCGAATCTAATGAGAAAAAAATAGTAAAAATGTGGCACAAGAAGACATACCTTAATACCTTCCCAAACACGTTTAATCTTGCTGTAAGGAAGCCTAAGGTCAACAAGACTATCCGGCATGAAGTCTGGTGGAAGTTCCTCCAACGGATATTTTACCCAATGAAGATATCGAACATCTTTTAAAGGGAACTCGAGTCCATGCGGGAAATTTAATTTGCAATTAGGATTACATTTTCGATGACAATAAGAATCATATATCTTGAGGTATCGAAGCTTGGACATACTGGCGAAGGTGCTTGGCTCCAAGGAAATAGTTTTCCTTACTTTTGACATATCTATGAAAATACCTCTCACGTTATTAGCATCCTGAAAGTTAAAAGAAAACATGTTAGGAAAAACGTCAAACGATTTAACCTGGAATCGAACCAAAGACTTTCAAATATAAATGACAAAAAAATGTGGACATTTTAGCCTAAGGTCAACAAGATTAACAAAGTACCGCTCTAAGAAAGTCTCAGTCTAGCTGAAATCTACAATTTAACAAGAAAACTTTTTTTTTTTAATGAATTTAACAAGAAAACTTGTCCACACTAAACTTGAATTTAAAAATTATTCCTTGTGTTATACTTTTAGGGCAAGGTAACATTTTTATTTCCCTTGATCACTATCAAATTGCTTTTTTTTTTTTAAAGGTTCGTTTAGTGAGCATCCAAATTATGTTGCAAGCATTGGCTTGCGAAAAAATAAAATAGATTAATAAACTTACAATTTTTCCCTGTTTTTCCAGTTTCTTGATAATATCCTTGTATTTCCACAGCTTATGTCTCCCGGGAGAACCAAGTTGCTTACCGAACATGTATACCAGATCATTCATCTCTATCCGACTATCGGAAATTGTAATCAAGAACTTGTCAGCGAGATCTGTTACTTCACTCACAGCATCCGTAGTGTCAGCATCTCCTGAATCCAGTATACTTCTAACAAAATACTCGTCTTCTGATTTGAAAAAAGACACTATGTCGAGGAACACATCTTTTTGTTGCTCATTAAGTTGGTCGATATAGTGTTTCAAGACATTTTGGATAAACACATGTTCCCAGTGAGACTTGTCGATAGCCATTAGTTTAAGAGCTAATGGGTTGCCTCCAGCAATATCCACCAATGTCTTTGGGGGAGAACAGATTTGATCATCAAGAGCGAAAGAACTAAAGAGTTGAAAGGCCTCTTTATTGTCCATTTGAGGAACCAAATAAGTATCATGAGCCAATCCTTCGAGCAACGATTTGTCACACGTTGTGATAATAATTTTGCTTCCCTTCTTAACCCATTTTAGGTCACCAAGAAGAAACTCAAGCTGTTTCTTGTCACCCACGTCATCGAGAACAATGAAAACTTTGGTCTGAAGCAATTCATTCTTCACGGATTCATGTGTTGTCTCGTCCTTTATGATTGGAATCTCCCCACCGAGTAACACCTTTAAGAGTGTCGTCCGTAGCCACACTGGCCCATAGTCCTTCCACTTCTTACGGACTTCCAGAAGAGGTACGCAACGTACAAACTTGCAGTTCCACTTTTCGTGTAGCATCATTGCAAGAGTTGTTTTACCAATGCCAGGCATCCCAACAACTCCAATAATTTTAGTTTCATTGCAATCAAAATCCAACTTCTGCTCTATTTGCTCCATACGTTGTTCGATACCAAAGAGCATGTCCTTGTTGGGGAAAGTTTCAGGGTATTCTCCAGTAGTTCCAAGATTTTGTACTTGCTGCAACGAAATCTCGGTTAATGTTTTGTTGACCTCCTCGACGATGGAAGTGACGAACAAGCCCTCGGAACTGCCAAACAATTGAGAAAATAAGGCAATTAATGAATCAATAAGAAGACCCTTCAATTGTGTAAGTAATATAGTAATTTAGTAACTTCAGTGACACTCAATCCAAGCCGAAAATAATTTAGAGAAAACTAATGATGTCATTTTTGTAAACAAAACTTCAAAGTGTGGTAATCTGAGAATGGCCAATAACTTACCCATCTTCTTTCAGCCATAAACGCATCATCGCTTCAAGGCTCGCAACAGACTCCAATGCTTCCTTCCATTTAATGATATGGTGGTCACGATGAAGCCTCCATAAATTCCAAAGCTTATTACCAAATCCTCCATTTAGTTGTTTCACATGCAATGGCTCAACCTTGTAGGAAATTGGAATGACTTTGAGTTTGCCTTGGTCCATGCATTCTTTGATCTTCACAAGCTCTTCTAAGCACCATGTCGATTCTGAGTACCCGCTCGAAAACACCACCACCGCGATTTCCGAATCCTCGATATTTTTGAAAATTTCGCCAAGATCTTTATTCTTCCTCTCATCTTTGTCTATAAAAACGTTGATCCCTTCCCTTAATAAGGCGGAAACCAAATGGCTTACGAAGCCGAAACCAACATCTTCCCCTCGGAAATTGATGAACACTTGATGCGGTGATGTATCTTTTTGGTAGTTCGCCATGGTAGAGCTTGGCTTAGCTTTTCCATGCTTACTCTCAACGCCACTCTGTAAATTAGGTTTTGCATCAAAATTTGCTTCACCAAGGGAAATGTCATCATTTCTCGGATTCGGACCATCATCACTTCTTGAATTGCTATACATTTTTGCTTCATGACCTTGGATTCTCTCAGCTTCTTCTCGATTTGCATCCCAAAGAATAGTATCAGTTTCATTGTCCATAAAAGCATCATTACCCTGCTTATTTAACTCGTCATCTGTTAGCTCCTTTGAAATCCAGGTCACTCTCTTGACTTCCTCGACGACGCTAGTGATAAACTCATTCTCATCTCTGTAAAAAGTGTGTAAAAAAAAGCAATGAGGACGGACCCGTGACCGAAAAGTAACAAAGTTTATCTAAATTTTAGAGTCCAAATTCTTATGTCAAAAATATTTACGTACAAACTAGGTATGTATTTGAATTTTGAACATGGCCATGAATGATGATCATACTTTTTGAGGGTTTTTTAGCCCGTTGACAAATTCGATAAAATATAGCCAGTACCTGTTCCCGGCCAAAATCAAGCCCGCTTTGTGCGAAACGAAATCCAAAGCTTCCTTCCATTTCTTGAGCTTGTCAAATTCAGAAGTATGCTTCACTTGATTCCACAAGTGAAAACCAAAATCTCCCTCAAGCCCTTTCACTTCGGATGGATTCATCTTGTAGAATATGGGAAACACCGTGAGTTTGCCTTCTTCCACACGTTTTTTGATCTTCACAAGCTCATCTAAGCACCATGATGATTCAGTATACTTGCTCGAGAAGATAGCAAGCGCGATCTTTGACTTTTCGATCCTCTTGACAAATAAGCTTCTAGGATCAACACCACTCAACTCATCATCTTGGTCTATATAGACATTGATTCCATTCCTTTTCAAGGCCATCTCGAGGTCCCGGACAAAGTTATGGTGCAGATCAGCTCCTCGGAAATTGATAAACACTTCTTGATCTTGTGACGGGTTTTTCTTGTATGTCGCCATGGTAGAATTTCAAGGAATTAGTTTTCAGAAAGAACTTCGAAAACTTTGAGGAATGAGTTTAGGAACAAGAGATTGAAAGTTAGTTAGATCGAGGAAGGAACATTTTCGTCAACGGTTGGTGCCACTAATTAAACATTTTTTTAAGAAAAATGGTAACTTCCACACATAATCACCAAAGTTTAATATTGTTTTTATTATTGACTAACTTCGTATACGACGCTTCCTTGTTAATCTGTCTTTAGTCCTCTTGCTGTTGTTTCTGGCTCCTAGTAATAACATAATAGCAAAATGAGATTAGAAAAATATTAGCTTACATAATGGAATACGATGTTTTAATTTCGAAATAATTGTAGTTGTTAGAATAGTTAAGCAATTACGGTCGTACCCGAAAGATAAGCAACTAATAAGAACCACAAATTAGCTTGAACCAGAAACAGTAACATAAGGTCGCTAATGAAATATAACCTATCTACTCTGTAACTTGACAGGGTCTCGTGAACACCAACTCCAAAGCAGGATAAAATGATTAGCTGGTAGGTTATTGAAGACTCTGAAATCCAGGTGAGCTCTGATCTAATCTTCAATGTGCCTTTTTGCATTTGAATTCCTTCTTACTATGAAGATGCAAAGGGTTCAGTGAAGGATATGCTTCACCAGTGTCATTCTGTATCCCTTCTCTGGTGATACACAGTTCCGTTAATTTGTTTCTCCTCTGAAATTGCCAGTCCTTTGAGTTGAATCACATCTTTACTCATGCTGGATATTCTTCATCACGGCTTGGAGTTTTGTGTAAGAATGTGCTTCACCTGTAACAGTTTCATCTTTGTCTTGGAGATTCTGAACCATGTGCTTGACCACTGGAATTATATGTCCTTCCTTGAGAGTTACACTTGCATTGCAGTTTGATTGAGACTGGATATTGTTTTCCTTTATTGATTTTTGCTTCTGCTTTAGCCGTCCATCATCACATCTTCTTTATTTTTGCTTCTTCTTTAGACTGGATAGTGCTGAACAAAGCCTCTGAAACAAGACCCTGCAAAATGATATTAAGGAAAATCTTAAAACTGCAAAATTTCTTTGAAATACAAAAAAATTGAGCAAGAGAGACAATGGGATATAGAGACAGGTATAGAGAGAGACCCCATTGTAGCCTTTACGAGCATATGATAGAAACTGGCATTTTCTTTGAGCATTAGATTTTATCTCCTCCTATGTAGCTTGTTCCAGGTTCTCACAGTTGGTGAAAATGGATGTGGAATGGTTTTGCTCCGTTGGTGTGATACGGGCCAGTTACAATATCTGACAATTTCACTCTTTTATTTGTTTTTCTCCTTTGATATATCTGTAAGGGTACTGCTTTAGCTGCATCACAAAAGAATTTGTTATAATCATATGATAAAAGGATTTCAAAGAGACAACGTAGAACTCGAAATGAAAAAGTTTTAGATTTGTACCTTTGGTTTGATGTAGAGAAACTCTCTTCTCGTTTCCTTTTTCTAAGCTTCAGGATTGCAGATTCAACACTTCTTCTATACCGACCTCTCTTAAATCGCGGCAGTGGTTCCCGACCTGAAGAAAAAGCTCCTGGATCCATGGATGAAGAAAGTAGCTTCTTTCCACTTCTTTCTCTTTTAATTGGAGAAAATCTCTTCTTAACTAGACTCATATCACCACTTGCATCGGTAATCACATAGACTCCACATCCCTTTACTTCACAATTATCATCTAAAACCTCATTCTGGCTATCGACAGGACAGAATTCAAATTCAACTAGTTCATCAAACATATAAGAGTTATTTGCTTCTGAAGAAATTATGGTAAAGATGTGATCCTTCTGAATTTTTGAAGCTTCCTTAGGACCCCAAAAATGGAAAACTCTTTCTGTTCTATAAGAGATGCTATTCTTCGTTTTCCTTATGCATGTACACCTTATGCTAAAACCAGAAGCCTTGTAGTAATTATAGCGAAATGAAACTACAACTGACATAGCAAAGCCTAAGAAAGTCTTTCTCATGGAAGATGTTAGATGTATCAGAACAGAAGAACCGTTTTGCACAGAAGATATCAAACCTTCAGATGCAAACACATCCGTTGAGGATTTCAGATCTTCAGATGCAGGCACACATATGCTAAATGCAGGTTCTGTGATGAGTTTCTGTTACAAATAGACAAAAATAAATCAAATATGCAAACGACTGTGAGTTTCTGTACGTCTAAATGTATCTGTAAGATAAGAGTGAGTACCTGGTGTCGGTCTCTTTTCATGTTTTCAACAATACACAGTGATTTTGCTAAAAATCCTCTGAAGACTTCTGGAGACAGTTTAAAGCAATTACTAAATGTGCAATGCATCAGAAGCTGTTTGAATCTCCAAGGAACTGATTTCAGAGACACACAACCGTGCACATTCAAGAGTTCTAGACTTTGAGGAAGCTCTGGGAGAGATTTGAGGTTTTTGCAATGGCGCAAACTAAGGCTGTGTAGTCTGGGGAGCAGCCTGATGCTTTCAGGAATTTTGCTGATACTGTTTCCACCAAAATCCAGAGCGTTTACTGTCGGAAGTTCGCATATCTCTTCTGGTATATCCATAAGGCATGCATTAGAAAGGAACAAAGATACTAGGGCGTAAAATCTTGATGCCAAGAAGTGAAAGATTGACAAAGGCTGCGGTGTAATAGTGAACCATGCCCAGTTTTGCTGCCGAATCTGTATCTCTAATCTGAACTGCAACTTATCAAGGGTTTCACAGACATCCAACATTGATTCTTGAATAGCGGAATGATGTACTAAGGGCTCAAGTACTTGTTGTTCTGTATTAAGACGATCGGAGCCTATTAGTGATATTGCATCAAGATTTGGAACTCTCTTCAGTTTTGAGCAGCCAGACAGCTTCAGCGTGACCATTGCTTTCAAGTTACTTATCCCCGGTGGCAGGTGCAGAAGTTTATCACAATTCTCCAAATCTAATGTAACAAGTTTAGTAAGATTCTCTATGGAAGATGGCATTTCTCTTATGGCAGTTCCCGCTAGATAAAGTTCTTTCAGGTTTGGAGAGAAATCCTGAATGTCCTCGAGATCTGAGCAGCCAGATAGATCAAGAAATTCAAGAGATTCTAAATGAATCATGACAGGCAGACTTCGTAAACGAGAGCAGTCTCTCAGATTCAAGAAAACAAGCTTGTCCAGATGATGGATAGATGAGGTAACTTTCACCAGACTTGTACATCCTTCGAGATCAATATGTTCAAGGTTCAAGGCCTTTGATAGCCTTGGGATCTTAGTTAACTGTCGGGAGTGACTCAGTCTGATCTTCTTAAGCTTCTCGAGATTCTGTTTACAAAAGCAATAATATAGGTCATTGCATACAAGCTTATGAATTCATGTAGACAGCTGACTACACTTTAAAATTCAAGATTTACCTTCGTCCCTTTCCATAATTTCTCCATCTTGCTATAAGGCATATTCAGCTCCACAAGATTTTTAGGATTAAAGTGCCGCGGCAAGGATCTCAGAGGGTAACTTTCCCAGTGAAGTAGTCGTAGCTCATCAGGCAAAGAGTTGAGGCCTTGAGGTAGACAAAGGTTGCAATGGTTTCCAGAAGTTGAACAGTGTAGCTTTAGCAATCTTAGTCTATAGGTCCTCTCAAATATAGTAGGACCTAACTTACATTTCAAGTTAGACATATCCATAAATATGCCTTCAACTGCTTCGGTTCCCTGGTAAAATAAGAGCAGAATAAGAATGGAAATATCAGCTATCACAACTGAATAAAAAGTAAAAACATCTACTATTTGAAGTTTCATAGATAGAAAATTAACGTACAGAATTGTTTCTCAATACTTTAGCGATTTCATTACCATCCCACAATCTGCTACGCTTCCCTGGCTCTTTGCTTTCTTCACACACAACAAACCGACCCATATCTTGGAACACATTAGACATTTCTATTTTATCGTCTAAAGGATCAATGAGGGACTCATCGATGAGACCATAAATTCCTAACTCTGTAAAGAAACCGCAGCCATCAAGTATTTGTATCACATGATTTCTGTTATCCCCTCTGAAAAAAGAAGCAAGATCCAAGAATATATTCTTCTCGTTTTCATTCAGACCATCAAAGCTTCTTCGAAATGCATCCTGAATCTCAGTTGGAGGAATTTGGCGCAACATTTGCAGATGTTCTTTCTCAGTGAACTGATTTCTTACAAATGAACCTAAAACACTGAGAACCAATGGAATGCCACTCGCATACCTCACCAACTCTGAGTTCAGCATGGACTCATATTGTCCAGGGGCACACAGAGACAAAAATTGAGAAGACTGATATTGGAATAAGTTCTGGATCTTGTATAACTCTTTGACATTACACTGTACAAGAACTTGTCTGTTCCTAGAGGTTAAGATGATTAAATGTCCGTGAGAAAACCAATCAAATCCTCCAACTAAAGCTTCTGCATCTCTAGCATTAGTCACATCATCAATAACAACAAGAACCGTCTTACTCTGGAACCTATCCTTCATGAAACTTGGCTTTGTATCACAAGCATCTATAAGAAGGTTTTCTACCCCAAATAGTTTAGAGAAGAATTCATCCCGCAAGTAAGTCAGCCCCTTAGTTTGATAGATTAGATGAAAGTCTTGTAGAAAGTAGCACGAATCATAACCTGGAGCCAGTCTTCTGAAAATTTCTTTAGCAACAGTTGTCTTACCTACGCCAGGCATACCCCAAATCCCAATCATTTGCATGCCTGAAGGCTGCCAGCTTTCTAGCAATGAGTACACATCAATCACGTTCTGGGAAGAGATAGAAAATAATCTCAAGCATGCATATCTAACAATCTCCTCGATAAGTTTAAACTCATTCCTGCACCAAAAACAATCAAATACTGAATTAAGCAAATGTATCGAAGAACTAAGGAGCAGAAATATCACTTGCTTTACTGTCTATCAGATTCCTTTTCCATAAGTATGAAAAAGAGATATCCAACATAAAGAGAAGGGATAGTATGTTTACCTCGCTATCCATTTACAGTCATCAGTATGAGCTAATTCAATAATTGCTTCCCTCCATTTCTGAACTTTCCCTGCCTGGATTGAATAATTAAGTCGTAAAATATTTTCTTGAATAAAGCCTTGCGGATCTTGAACCTCGGAAGGTGTCACTTTATAAAAAATGGGAATAATTAGGAGGCCGTTTGCTTTCTTGTATTCCATGAGCGTCACGAGTTTATCCAGGCTTCGAGGTGAAGCAGAACTTTTTGAAAAGAACAAAATGAAAACACCATATAAGTAAGCTAGGCTTTGAATCCTCGACTCTAAGTCAGTAATTAGATCATATTTGAAAGCAATGACCACTCGCTTCCGCAGCTCACTGAAGATTTCATCAATGAGAGCTATCTCTTCTCCGTCCCGTTTGTATCCACCACATGAAATGACACAAACACATTCTCGTATTGGACAATAAGGGGAACGCAACACTAAAGAGCGGAGCCTTCGCTGGATATCCGTAAACTTATTTGACGATGAGCTATTCCTTCTGGAGATTTCTATTATGGAGGATAAAAATCGTAAGTTCTTGAGCCCAAGAGAGAGAAGCATCAAGTAGTGATACCCATACCTTCTGACAGCGACTTTGCTCTGCTCATCCTATATTTCTAACAAGGCGGGAAAACAGAGGAAAAATATTGCGGTTATTAAAATAGCTAAAAAGGAAATGGA